ACACTAAACCAAGCACACTGGACACCAAGAATTGGAACCAATCAAGATTTAAAAACCCATGTCAAAAGAAAGACGATAGATAGACAGAGCTTCAGTGAGTTTATATGGAGAATCAATATGAAGGACAGCTGCATGTTTTCTTAGGCCTTTCTAAGTGTCCCAAAACATGGTGGAAAGCAACTTTGACAGAATCTTTGTCTATAGAGGGCAAGTTGCAGACTGAGCATACAACTGATTATCATTTGTATAAAACCGGTAGCTCAAATGAAGAAATCCGATTGGTTCATAGCCATGAAATAATAACCACAAACCACTATGATGTCTAATTCCTTTGCACTTTCAGTATCACTCCATGTCTGAGAACAACACCTACACTAATGTGTTGTCAGGGCTGCTGAGCGACATGAGGGAACATGTTATAGATACAAATTAACAAAGTTAAAGACCAAAAACACGACACACAAAAGAATCATCTCAGGTAAATTTCTATGAAGGAGTGGATTAAGCAGTGCCCGTCTCCTACTAAACGACATGCAGAGAGGAGGTTCAATAATGTTGCTCAGAAGAAAGCCAGCAGGAATACAGCAGAAATAAACTAACTGATGCCTTCGCAGAACCACGATTCAGAAACTATCCAATACGGCTTTCTAGACAAGAGAGATTGTGGTTGTAAGTGGTCACAAACATTAAAACCTCTCTCCAGAGCTACAGGCAACCGAAACTCAGGGACCCAAGAAAGTGGAGCAACATCCTCCCACTGCAAGCAACACACACACATACACACACACACACACACACACACACTCACACACACACCTAACCAATAAACGCAAGTACAAGGACTTATCAAAGTCATCCTACTGACGTGCTATAGCTTCACTAACTCACCAAAAAATATACAAAACACAGAAAAATAAAAATGACCAACAATAGATAATGGTAATAAAAAAGGATGAAAAGCAGAGTACAACATCCCCAAGCAGCAACCCTGAGATGTATCAACAATATAAACTTTACAATAGCTGCAGCCCACAATCACACATATTGAAGTAAAGGAGAAACTGCGTTTCTTACACACCAAGCAGCCTACACACACAACCACGTTGCCAGGTCTTTGACATTCTCATCTGGAAAGTGAGTTCAGTGAGTGTGTTGTTGGTGTAAGTCAGTCTGTGAATCCTGTGCAGCGCAAAACCCTCCCCAATCTGCTGCAGGTTCAATTTCCATACATAATATAACCAGTCCACTCTCTGGTCTCACAATAATCAGTCCCAGTTTCTCCACTTCTCAAAGTTTTCAAACATGTTGAGCTGAATAAGGCCTCACACACAGTAAAGGTAAAAGTTCCTCGTATTTAGCATGTTAGATACAACGCACATCTGTTGGTGACTCAACTTCATGTTTGATTTGGTTGTGTTCTGACCTCATTATGCATTTATGTTAAAAATGATTTTCTGAACAAATGTACCGACGTGAACAAAGAGGATGGAGGTGGATATAAATATGCAGCCTCTAAATCAGTGATTCAGGCAGAATGCAACCGTCTTTTTGTATTTGCTCTGGTTTAAGTGCGGTTGCTCGGTTTTTGCCATAAATCAATAACATTTTCTAAACTAAAACCTTCTAAGTCCTCCATCAATTTCACATTAGTAATGTACTGTATTCTACAGCGTTGTACTAGTTTCTACTCCATATTTTTGACCAGTTTTGCACTGGTTTGTCATTGAGTTGTGTTTTGTTGCTCACAGTGTCTACCTGCACTACAGGGTGTTGATATATTCCTGTGGTGATTCTTTGCCAATACTATTTCTGGAAAAGTGAAACTTAACTGGCAGTGGGCGAGGTTGAGTGGTTCTCAACTGGTCTGTCTGCAGGACCCACCATCACCTCTTAAACAAGCAGTGACCCAAATCAAGGAACATTTTCCTTCATGTGAAAACAACCTTTGCGGGTGTTCTTCTCTGCTGGGAAATAGCGGGTGTCTATTAGCATTACAAGGCATTAACGCAAAAATCCCCTTCAAAATAAAAGCACAGGATTTGTTTTTTTCAGGCAAAGCGCTGCGACCCACTGAAAACGGCTCCGCGACCCACCAGTTGAGAATCACTGATGTAAAGCATGTAGGGGTGTGTCGCATCATCATGTTTTTGAGTTCATCACCTGTACTGCAGCTCATCATCCATTAACATCACAGGTAAGATCAGAAACTACGACTCACTGGGAAATGGTTTATCATGTAGACTTGTTTTCAACTCTTCCTTGAGCCTTTCTGCTCTATAATGTACTTTTAGAACAGCGATGGCAGCAGCAGCCTTGTCAAGCAGCAGAGGAGTGGCTGGTGGCCTGTACATCCTCTTCACTCTGCTGTGTCTGGTTTGCCTCGCAAGTTCATGGATACACGACGAGAAACTGGTAAATAAATTGCTGCTTAACCTCCCATTGCTGTCGAAAACAATTCCGCATTTATTTGCAAGTCGTCATTGTGATTCACCACAAGCAAACTTCCTGTTGAAATGTTCTTAATTTTCCCATCTGCAGTCGTATGCGCAGATATGCTAGAGCTGCTGTCATGCTTCGGCTGTTATGTCCACAAATGTAACTGCATGTTGATTCTCACGCTGTGTTTGCAGAAAGATCTCAAAGAAGACAATCAGAAAATACAACAAAAC